GGTCTGTATTGAAGGGAACCAGAAACTGTAAAACAACAATATTGTTGCTGTGTAGTAGCAAAGGCTGCTAACTTAGAACAGCTGCAGTCACTTTGAAACAGAAAAACTAATAATAAATAGGGTATCTTGGCTTACAAATCCAAATTTCATTTCAGCTCATAAGTGTTTTTTCTTAGACCAGTTATTTCCTTTTGTACAACTGACACAAGCAGTGTCATAATCAAATTCTTTCCCTTGATTGTTTTTATTTTTTTTCCATTATCTGTTCTTCCTTCCATGTCTTTGTATCATCATCACTCACATCAGCTAGCTGCTTCCCTGGCACAACTCCTGGAACACATCCTTTAGAAGTCAGCATCTCTCATCAGCTTTATGAAAAAATAAACTGGCTGACTATTTTTTCACTTTTTTTCCTAATTTCACTATGGTATGCAGTGGAGCAAAAAGATTAAGAGCCATTTATATGCACTTTTCAGATATAGAATTTTAAGGATCATCTTTTACATTGAGAAAAATCTGATTAATGCAAAAAATTGTGTGTGTTTTTTTAGAAAATGATTTCCAAACAAGCGTTCAAGACAGATCACAGCAGAGGACGTATTAGGGATTACCTTTTACTGTTTTAAAATGAATGTTACAGTTTACACAAAAAAACTGTGACACAACACACAATCATTATCCTCTTATAGAAGGGAATCATGCGAGATATGAAGTTACACTAAAAAAAATATTTAAATTTCAATTGCAGATCTGCCCAATATATTAACTTTTAAAGTATCACTGAATATAACTGACTAAGAACTAGTCCACATAATTCATTGAATTGACAAACCTTTCTTGCATTGATTGAGACTCAGTGAATCAAACACTGCATGAATTGAACAGTCAGGCCATTTACCAAGGGATGATCACAGAAAAAAAGACCAAATAAGTCTTTGCTTTAAAAAATGCTAACTTGAGAGAAAAGTTCAAGAACATTTCTATTTCCATACTGTTCAAATTCAAGAATGGTCTGGTCCAGGTACAACAACCCCATCAGCCAAATTGTTGTTAGGCCGATGAAGGCCCAGATGTCACGACCGCTTCCACGCCTATTTTCACATGGAAGAAATCACAATGTGTGCACAGTATGGAGAGCAGACAGTGAGCAGGAGCAAAGGCTGCATTGAAGGCATCTCATCGATGAAAGGTGGTGGCAACGCTTGTGCAGGCAGCTGTGCCTCACAGTGCGTGGCCCTGTCCTGGTCCTCTGATCCCTCCAGTCAGGGAACATTTTGGCAGGAACAGAAACTGTCTTCCAGCCCATCTATCTAGAATTCCTTCCCAAGCAGAGTGTGAGGAAGAAAGGCAAGAGTGGGGAGCAATTGTGAAGGTCATGTTCAGTCCTGGAGCCACAATTTAGGTGTATTTTTGTATCTGATGGTACGATCTTGCTAGATTTAAAATTAAGGTAGAAGATGCTAAAGCATTTTATGAAAAGGGAAAAAAAAACATTCTGGGAAGGGAAAGTAAAACTACTTATTTTCACTTTCTGTCATGAATCATTTGCATGAATTCATGCAGAAAATATACTTCTGATCTTATAAACCCAACACCATTTCCTGTGATTCAGCTAGCTTTGTATGATGATAGAACAGAGGGAAAAGTGACTAACCCTTGATGCATTTTATCTGTTTCTCTATCTGTTATGCATGTAGAAAGAACTACACAAACACCAGAGCCATATGCAATTGCAAAAGTTGCCTGAGAGCTGGAACTGTTGAGGGAGAGCCAAAGGATGGTACAAAAACCCAAAAGAATTGAGGAGGAGAATGAAATAGGATGCCTAGACAGTCCTTTCTTCTGTCTTTTTCAGGAAGCAAAATTGTCAACATAAATCGCACTCTTGGGCTTCTTATTTATTTCCTTGAGTTGTTTACATCATTCAAATGTATTATGCAAGAAAAAAAAAGGTAGTAAATTAAAATGGGAGAATATAGTCTATCTTAATTTTCTCCAGAAAAAAAATCTAGGTTTTTCCAACTAAAACCAGTTGGAAATTAAAGCAACACATGGTAAATAGATAAATACAGAATTTAGAGATTAATTTGAAAGGTGCACTGCTATTCTGAAACAAAATTTTACTGGGGATCTAACAATGGACTCTTGCCATCATCTTTCTAAAAGCAAGTGCTACATACTCTATGTTGTGCTAACAATTAAAGCTTAGTCATAAAAATAAATTAAATTATCATTTTTCAGGGAAAAGCAACAAGATGAGTTTTAAATTGATTAGGAACACTTAATTTCGAAATTCTGAAGACTGGAAAAGGCCTAGAAAAAGGAAATTAGGATTTTAAAACAATGACCATGACGAAAAATAAAATGGATCTTTGTGGCCTATTTGCAACCCTTCAAAAATGGTGGCAATTTAAAAAAAAAAATCCTGTGCAATAAATTATGAACCCTGGTATAAATTTTCCACATTAAGGAGAATTCATCAAAGAAGGTTTACACTGACTGGTAATATGGCTTGCACTAAAACTTCTAAAGGTCTTCTGTGAACTATATCCCCGAACCTGTGGAATAGATTCATTCACAAAACTAGATATACAGACTGTATTTCATCTATTCTGCAACTGATAAGGGCGTGAAACACACTTGGGCTGGCAATGGGAAGCTGGAAGAGGACTGAGTCTGATCATATTCAGCCAGTGTGCCAGCAAAGTATGAGCATTGCAGAAGTAGCATCAGCTTCTGTTTTATTATGCTGAACCTTATTGTCTCACCGTTAGGCTTGATAAATTCTTGTTGGTTACCTTAGCTATGAGGTGGATTTATCCAAAAATCAGGAGAAAACAAATGGCCAATAGTTCAAATAAGGTATCCAGAAAATCAAATTATAATTGCAGCAAAGGAACATATTTCCATGTATCTGGAGTGGAGCCCAGTTGAAAGCAAACAGAAGCAGAGTAATTCTGCAGTGAATGACTCATTGGCACAGAAGGGACCCACCAAACATTTGTCAAACTGATGCTGAGAAGAGGAAATTAAAAGAGAAAGGCGAGCAGAAGGGATACACTGGTAGAGACATTGAAATAATTTGTGGGAATATTCTACCTTAATACAAGTGACAGTGAAAGCCATATCTGATGAGTTAAATGATTTTCTGTGATTTTCTTTCTGGGTTGCTGCTTTTAGGTACCAGCTTGTTAGGGCCATATGCATGGATGGACTTGTCTGGTGGATAGGGCCCACAATAGCAGCAAGTGTGACTTGTTTTCAAGGGCAAGAATTTGTGCCATATTTCCAGGTGGGAGCCAAGAGCCAAGCCAGCTGATGAAAAACATGGCAGGTGTGCCTTTCCGTATTCATTGTTGCACAGCTGCTAAAGTTTGATGGAAAACCTGTTTGATAGTATTTGCCATTTTTAAACTGACCAGATGAAGACAGCAGGAAAGCCTATAACTTTTGCTTCACCACCCATACAGTACCTGACACATTTACCACTTTATTTCTCTATGAGAAATGCTCTCACAAATTTGCTCTCACTCATTTGAAGGATGATGATGCTTTCGCAAAAGCATCGTAAAAGTAAAGTTTATATTTCTCAGAATTTATTAAATAGAATTAGTTGGTTTTGTAGTACTAATTTTGTAAGGAGAACTTAAAAACATGTGGATTACATTTTAACATGCATTGGGACTATGCAAAGATCATACGAGGAGATTAAGAAAAGCTGCAGTCAAAGGAAGGGTCTCTGTCAGTATGGAGAATATTCCTGTCAGACCCTAGCTATCAAAAATGAATAAAGGAACACAGGCTCTGATGGATCTAAAAAGTCTGAGTGGATATAATTCTGTAACTATGCTGTGAAATAGCTCTCTGTGGACACAATGATAAAATTAAAAAATTCTTTTCCCTTTTCAGACTAAACAAGATGATTTTCTCTCTTTTTGTTTTCTTTATTTTGCCAACTGGTTACAACTTCACCATCCCCTCTTTGTGTGCCTGTTTGAAAGGTAATTAAGACTTTCATTCTGAAGTATTTACATTTCCAATATTCTTAATATTGAATGTACAGTTATCTTTCATAGTTTATCTCTCTTTAATGCAAGAAATACTTAGAATAAGTTAACTATTGCTTAGGATGACTATAACGGGGACAAGTAAGCCAGTCAAGTTATCCTTCCTGCTATAACTTGAAAATTAAGTATAATATGTAGAATTATACTATAATAGAAATCAGATCTATATTTGCATGCAAAAGTAAAAATGGCTTTATGCTCTATTCAATGTCTTCACTGTAGACATACTAATAATAAATAATTTAATTTGAACAGTTGGAATAATTGAGAGTATGAACATCCCACACTGGGATGAGAAAAACATATTTGTAACAAAGTATTAATTTCCAAATAAACTATATTAAATACACCTGAGTTAAGATCCAAGTCTGAGCAGTTTCAAATATTGGAGCTTGCTTCCAATTATAAAATCTTACACAGAAGACACTAAGCTAGCAAGTCAATAGAGGTTTCAAGTGGAGAGAAACCACTTGAAAACTAGCAACACATTCTAAAAACCAGATTGTGTTGCTATTTACTTCAGAAATCAACATTCTGTGACTTTTCATGCATATATATATGTATATTACACAGAGAATCACACTTAGAAAGCTAGAATTGTCATTATCCAAAATTAGAAAACAAGACCCATATTCTAAATCTGATTTTTTAATGCTTTTAAATGACTCAAAATTAAGTATGATGTGTGTATAGTTCTTATTTGGACAGTAATCAATTTTATATATTTTTTGCTGTCTTAAAGGTTCAGGATTAAGTACAATATATGTATTTTTTTTCCTTTGGACACTAAGTTATTTTATATTATTCTTTAGCTGTCTGAAAGAAGTCATACGCTGAAAAACAGCACCCAAAAATATTTGTGTGTGGAGAAACAGACAGAAAAAAGCTAACCACCTTTATTATTTTACTTTATTGTAATTTTAATAAGTCACATTCATTGTTTCTATTTGTTTAAGAGAAAAGAGAAAAGGAAAGTCAGGGCATTGTGCCAGTTTGTAAACATCCCTTACGAGAAAAATACTCAAAGGAAAAATGCCAGATTGAAGATGTGATTTGGAGTCCCACATTAGGCATTTATTCCCCTCAGCAGATCCCCAAGGGACTCCTGGTGCCTTAGGAAAAAGTTTAAACAGACATGCAGTGAGAGGGGACCCAGCAGCTTGCAATCACCAGCAGCTGTCACTGAGCTCTGCTCAACAAGAAAGCCAAAGACAAGTCATTGACCCTCATTCTCCCCCTCGAAAACATGGAAAAATTCTCATTATCCTGGGGGTAGAAGCATACCCTTTCATCAAGGCCATCACACTTGCAGCCTGGTTTTTAGTTGGTGAGAGAGAGTTGGATTTCTGCCTTCTGTGGCTTCTGCACCTATGCTCGTTGTCTTGTGGCTGTTTTGTGGTGTTCATTCCCTCCTCCACCTTCTGCCAGGGTGTGCTGCCTTGGAAAAACAGGAACACAGGGAAAAGAGCAAAAGGAAGAAGATCATGATTTTTAGCCTCGTGTTTCCTCTTCTGGGATATGGTGATATTTTTCAGTATTTTGCTTTCAACAAAACCCCCTCTTTCACAGGTAGTTTCCTGTGAAACAGGGCAAGCCACAATGAGGTCAAAAAAGGAATGTGAATTCAGATAGTCTGGCCAAATGCATATCCCTCCATCTGTGCAGTGTCCTCTCATGGCATTTTACAAGGGCAGATTGCGATAGGAAAGGAGGAAATAATTTTAAGCTAAAAGAGGAGAGATTTGGATTAAATATTAGGAAAAAATCTTTACTGTAAGGGTGGTGAGGCAATGGAAGAGGTTAAACACAGAAGTCGAGGATGATATTTAAGGTCCTTTCCAACTCCGATGATTCTGTGATTCCATCTTGAAGTGCCTAAGACATGCCCTGGGAAGAGCTACTAGGTTAAAGCCCATTAGGTAAAACTGTGGAAAACCCTAAATGGCTGGATAACTTGCTGATAATTTCCTGAATACCTCAAAGTCCTGCATGTGAAAAGAAAATCTTTCATGGACCTGAGACACCTCCAAGGCTAAGCAGAAGTTGACCAACATTTTTCATTTCTGTGGTTTTTATTTTAGGGACCTGGTCTTAGTGAAGTCTCCTTTAGCTACTAAATCCTATCCAAAAGTTTATTACAAGCTACTAGAACTGTCAGAAAACAAGGACAAAATCAAGAGTATTGGTCCAATGACAGACACATTTACAGTTTGCACTGACCTCATATGTATGTAGGTTTAAAAATATTCAAGTTATTATAGCAGAGTATAAAGCTGTACTCAAGTAGGTTGACCTCACTGTAGTTCTCAAGGTGAAACAAAAAATGAAATTGCCAACAAACATATTAGAGTTAGTGATTAAGTGGCTTTTTATACACACTTGGGAACACTGGGAGAGACAGTTCTGATGGGAAAGACATGATTACTTCTGATTACTCTGCACTGTCCCATTACAGAAGTCTGATACCAGATTTCAGTGGAAAAATAATCACCATAAATATGTGAAGTGTATATCATGCAACTGTCATAAGTATCCTAAGTTACAATGAAACTGAATTACATATAAAAACAATTACACATGGAATGTCCCTTTGAAACTTCTTTCATTTATGTTATAGATGCAAGAGTATTCAGAGCTCAGGAATTTAAAAGGAAGATCTACTGAAAGGGGGGATAATATTATCGTGTGAGTGAGGCTTTTAAAAATTAAATTAATTGCATTTTATCCTGTTTTCAAATACCAAAATATGCTGCACACTGTTCATCACAATGGCTTAAAAATTTTGACATCAGGGCAGTTATGGAGAAGGTCTCTTTTCTTACTGTCTTTACTGTTGGGATTGTGAAAAGAAGGGCTCCTTCAAATTATATGAGATACAGGGGAACTGTACAGGGGAACCTGTTATATTTCTGTACTCACTGCCTGCATAAGTGGAAAATGCATGGGTTTGTACATGCAGTCAGCTTATAGAGTCAGGGAGTAATATTTTGTAAAGAGCTATGATATGTGGGACATTAGAAGGGATCATTAGGAGAAATAAATATTTGAGAATTGAAAAGTACGTCCAGAGTTCTGGCACTCATAAGACAAATAAGACAAAGGACAAGAATGTGTGACCATGAATTTTACAACTACAGTCTGTGCAACTATCATTTAGCAAACATTCATTACCATTATTAATAACGTGACATAAATGGGAAACAGCAGACTTAATCCATATACTTGGCAGATATCTGAAACAGCAGATGGCACTTTAAGTGGGATGGGGGGAATACCCAGCAGACACCAACACTGCCTGGCCATAGATCTGGCATTTATATAAATAACTGAGACAAAATCTGGACCTAGTAAAGGCCTCACATGTATACACTTGTGTACAATTATTTTTGTGTCTGCTAGGCAGATCATAATTCTGGCTATGACATTCTTTTCCTCTCATCTGGGAAATGTTCCAGCCATGTTCAAACTGGGACTGGGGCAACATAGCCACATAAAATCCTGCTTGGGAACAGATTACTGTAGAAGATTGACACAAGTCCTGCCTAAATGTGTGCTCCCTGTGATACCAAGGGACAATGTAGTCCTTGCTTGTGTCTTGAAGTAAACAATATATACCTGCAATATATCACATTAAACCAATATGACTTCCTATGTGGTATAAGTGTTATATTGTCCCTAAATAAGCATTTTTTCACAGATTTTGGTAATGGATACATGTGTACTCTGCGGTCATCTGCAAAATATCATCCACATAAGGCAACTCATATAATTGCAAATTTATTCTACCTTATGTTACTTTGTGTCTTTTAAGAGAAAGAAGAAAATTAAGAAACTTGTGTGATCCTTTCTACTGGTTCTATGATCTCATAAATTGCTGAAGACCAGAAGACATGATGATAAGCCATTCTTTTTTCTTAGTAAGGCACATTCAGACGAACATACCTAAGTAATTTTTATGAATGATGTTCCACTTTGGAGAAAAGGCTATACTAATAATAACTTTCCAAAATTCAGACAGTTCTGAATCCCCAGGACTCCTTTTCATTTCTTGGGAAAGAGCTATTTCTTTACTTACTTTGATTTTCTGCACTGAAAAAACCTTCTACAATATGAAAATTTCATAGATACATAACATAAATAGATACAATTATATCATAACACATAATTTTGATGACATGCTGCTTGGGATAGAAAAAAATATGTCAAAGCATGCTTGAAGCAATTCCCCTATATAATCAATTTTCACATAATTTTGCGTGCATACAGCTGTCAAATTTCTAACTGATTTTATAGACACATTAAAAAAAACAAACTTCAGAACCAATGCTAACTTTGTACAAGACAGTGATGCCTATTCCAGGATATTAAGAACTAGAGTTCATATTAAAATAAACCTGGTGATATTCTTATACTGGAAAACAATTGTTTCTTTCTTTTTTTCCCCCACTGTAATCCAGAATCATAATACTGCAAATATACAAACAACTGTTCTTTGTTTTTTAAGGCTAAAGATATCAGCATTTTAGGAATTATATTAATGATACCTATTTCTGAATTAATAGGATTCTCCTGACATTCAGTTCCAGGTCTACAAATTCTTAAGTATTTTGTAGCCTGATCATGGTTAACTTTCATTTTTTGGCCACAAGAATAAAGATATCTTTGAGAACTTATGTAGCATTTTGAAAATAAGTTTTCTTTGAGGGGCTGCTATTAGACCTGCAGTATGAAGTTACCTCACACTAGGACAAATTTGGGTAGCAAATTCTGATGTACGATTTTCCCTTGTCGCTAAGAAGACAGTGAAAAAAAAATATCCATAGGCTTTATTCTTCAATAGAAGAAGAACTGATTTTCTTCAAGGAACCATTTTATAAGCTAACCTCCTGGACAATAGCATGGCTTTTGGTGATGGAAAAGCACTCATTTCTGTCTTTCATTTTGCTGAAGGATGTTCCTCTCTATTAATTCTTCTTCACCATTACAGTGCCCTTAGGAGGGTCAGCAAGTAACCAAATATATTTGTATTTTAAATCCCTCTATGAATAGCATAACTCATTGCCTCTACTTTTCTGAATGTGATCCATCATAAGCAGAAGCACAGTGAAAGCAGTTGAATTCAGTGACAGCTACAGATCCTTTCTTGGCACTCAAGTCATGATGTGTGTAAACACTGACAAATGACCAGTATTCAGAAGGAAGAGAAGAGAAACCTGAATAATGGGCCCAATTATTTCAACTTTTAAGGTGAGAAATAGGCATGTACAATTGTCATCTTCCTCTAGTACTGTTAGGCTTTGGGAAAAATGAGAGAACAATCCATGATTCTTAACATTTTCACGGCTTAGTGTGAAATAATATTGCAAAGAAAAGAGAAGCTGAAGGACAATGAGACGAGCTTAAGCTTGGGAATTATACAACTGATTCACAGACTTTCTCAATGAAAAACTGTGTAGTGCAGTATTTAATATTCAGGTTAATTTACCACATAAAATAATTTTAGTGTTGTATATGAAACAGGTTTTTTTTTTTCCTATTTTGTTTAATGCTACACAAAAAAAAAAGATACCTCTCCACCCACTTCTGCTGGCAGCTTTTAGGGCACGTAATGGTGAGGAGATTAAATACTCTTAGTCAGGATAGAAATCAATTTCCACCCCTTACTCACTGGAAGAGTATGCTGAATACTGAATGGTTCAGACAGAGAGTTCTAGTGACATAGAACAAGGTAAAATATTAGTTGCTGAACAGTCACAATATATACTAGACTGAAAAAAAATAAACAACCTCAGAAGAGACTTGAGTCTTAATAACTACTCCTCAGAAGTGGATCCCCCTTGCAGGGCTCTGAATTTAAGCCCTCCTTAGGGCGCACACCCATCTTTCTTTGGGTGGAAAGTCTCATTCTGTGCTACCACACAGCACAGAAGAGATGCATTGACAATTGCTGCAGGGGCAGCAAACCTACCACATAACTCAGGAAGGACCAAGAAGGGCAAGAGTCTGAGATTGATGCAGCCCTCAAGTCAGAGAGAAGAGGCTGAGTGGGTAAAGGCCTCCCAGACTTGCCAGGGCACTGTCAGTACCTTGGTGCACTCAGGAGCCTGACACAGATATTTCTGATACCTAATATAGAGATCAAATAACCAAAACTGCCAGTTAGGCTAAGATTCTTCATTAATCTCAAGTGTTTTGGAAAGATACTGTGTATTGTAAGATATTTAAATTTATTTTAAAATAATCAGCCTTGTAAAAAGATATATCTTAAATGACCCACTCATTATGTAGAATTAAAACAGCAATTAATGACATTGAAAGCATGTAAAGTGTGTCAGGTTTCGATTACTGAACAGAAAAGGAAGAGGACCAAGTTTGAGCATTAGAACACACACCTCTGTCAAGGGGAGTTATAATGTATTGGACAGCAGGCATGGGCAG